TGTGATGCTAAGTGAAATAAGCCATACACAGAAAGACAGATATCGTATGCTTTCACCCTTATGTGGATCCTGAGAAACTTAACAGAAACCCATGGGGGAGGGGAAGGAAAAAAAAAAAGAGGTTAGAGTGGGAGAGAGCCAAAGCATAAGAGACTCTTAAAAACTGAGAACAAACTGAGGGTTGATGGGGGGTGGGAGGGAGGGGAGGGTAGGTGATGGGCATTGAAGAGGGCATCTTTTGGGATGAGCACTGGGTGTTGTATGGAAACCAATTTGACAATAAATTTCATATATTAAATATATATATATATAAAGAGAGGTGAAGCAGTGGCAAGGATGTGGAAAAAGGGGAATCTTTGCACACTGTTGATGGAAATGTGCCTTGTTACATAGCCATTATGGAAAACCGTATGGGGGTCCTCTAAAAAATTAAAAACAGACCTACCATATGGTCCAGCAACCTTATTTCTGGGTATATATCTAAAGGAAATGAAATCAGCATCTCAGAGATATTTGCACACCCATGTTCAATTGCAGCATTATTCATAATATCAAAGATCTGGAACAACCTGTCTGTCGATGGATGAATAGATAAAGAAAATGTGGTATATACTCACAATGGAATAGTCATAAAAAAGAAATCCTGTCATTTGTGACAACATGGATGAAATGGGAGGACATTATGCTCAGTAAAATAAGCCAGACACTGTAAGGCAAGTATTTTTTTTTTTTTTTATTTCAATTGTATGTGGAATCCAAAAAAGTCAAATCCATGGAACCTGAGAGTAGAATGGTGGTTGCCACCAGAGGGAGATGGGGGAAATGGGGAGATGTTGGATCTTAAGTGTTCTCCCCACACACACATACACACAAAATGGTAAGTATGGGAGGGGATAGATGTGTTAATTAACTCAATTGTGGTAATCATTTCACATTGTATATTAAATCATCACATTGTACACCTACAAAAATCACATTTTATAAACTAAAAATATACAATTTTTATTTTCTAATCATACGTAATAAGACTAGAAAATAATATGAAAAGAAGAAACTCAGACTTACGGAATGTGTGATATAAAGGCACCCACCTGTATGTCAATGTCAAAGCCAATTTCACGAAGTACATTCACAATGATCAGGCAGTTGTGCAGATACTGTTCAGAACTTTTTGGTTGTGTATACATATTTATAAGATGTGACTCAATCTTGAAAAGACAACAATCAAATCTTTAGTAATAGAATAAAAATTACTGCTTTTTAACTGTTCTCTTTAGTTTAGCAAAGAATCATTTATTTTTTTTTTATTTTTTAAAAGATTTTTAAGATTTTTGAGAGAGACAGAGTGCAAGTGGGGGAGGAGGAGAGGGAGAGGGAGAGGGAGAGGGAGAGGGAGAGGGA